CCACAGGATATTTAAAGTTTGGAATGTATTTTATATTGTGCTATTGGTTGGTATGACATCTTGGGACAAGGAAAGGTTATGGCTTAACAGTGATGCTTTTGTGTGTCAAGCTAACAAGGTGTCAATTGAGCTCTCTAATTTTATGTCCACTCAACACAAGCTGGAGTCATTTTGGAAGAGGGAACTTCAGTTTAAAAAGGCCTCCACCAGATTGGCCTGTGGGCAAGCCTGTGGTGTGTTTTCTTGATGAGTGAGGTTAGTCTAGATCACTGTGGACAGTGCCACCCCAGGCCTGGTGGTCCTGGGTGCTATAGAAAAGCAGCAGGCTGAACAAACCGTGAGGAGAAAGCCAGTACCTCCATGGCCTCTGTTTCAATTCCTGCCTCGAGTTGCTGCTCTGACCTCCCTCAGTGATGGAGTGTGGCCTCAGAGCTGTAAGGTTAAATGAACTCTTTCTTCAGCAAGTCATTTTGGTCTTGATGTTTTACCATAATAATAGAAACTCCATCAAAGACACAGGAGAATCAGAAGTTCAAGGCCATTCTCAGCTCTGAAGGCTGGGGTGTAGCTCAGTGGTAGGATACTTGCCTAACATGTATGAGCCCCTTGCTTCAATCCCCAGGTACAAAAAACCAAAACAACCCGTGACTCAGTGATGAAAACAGTCCTTCCATGATGGGAAGTGTTATCATTAAACCAACCTAGTAAAGAAATACCCCTATCAGCTGGAAACAAGGCTGACCAACCTTTGCCCCTACACTAAGTGCTCCCTCCCCACACACTGAATAGATCTTTGACTGATTGCTCAGAATCCAGCCACTCCTGCAGCATCTCTTCCACAGGCAATGTAGTGGGCTTAGGCCAGCACGTCAGCATCCTGTTCAGATTTTATGATATTGTCAACCACGTTGGGAAGAGCTGATGGCATGGCGGGCATTTGTGCACCTCTGCTCAGGGCTGGCTGGCACTAGGGCTCCTCTGTTCTGCAGAGTGACTATGAGCTGCTGTTGAGCACACAATGCTCCGGTTACCTGCGGGGACAGCTGTGGTGCCAAAGGTTCTGTTGGGTTCTGATCAGAATCTCTCAGAAGACACCTTCAGATTCCAAGACTGAGCTGGGTGTTATTAGGAAGATGTTCCAGTCCTTTCCAGCCACCTGTAAGGGCTCATTGTGATAAAGGCCTTGCCATGTTTGGATGCATACATGGGGAAACTAGTAATTCTGAAGCTGTTTTTTTTCTTTTTCTTCTTCCCTCTGTGTAATGAGAGAATTCCTTGGGCTTATGTTTGTGAGATCTTCTCTTTGCTTTAGACGAAAGTGTGTGCACGTGTGTGTGTGTATGTGTGTGTGTCTGTGGCTGTGTTGTCCATATCATGTGTGTGTCAGTCAGAGGACAACTTTCAGGAGTTTTTTTTTTCTCCTCCTTCATGTTCTCATGAACGTGGAGCTTGGTGGCAAACACTTTTATCTACTGAGCCATCCCATCATCCCTTATCTTTCTTATTTGTTTGTCATCTATCTATCTATCTATCATCTATCTATCTATCTAGAGAGAGAGAGAGAGAGAGAGAGAGAGAGAGAGAGAGAGAGAGAGTGTCTATGTATCCCTGGCTGGCCTGGAACTTACTATATAGACCAATCTAGCCTCACAGAGAATGTGCTTGCCTCTGCCTGTCCATCTCTGCTTCTCTGCCTCTCTGCCCCTGCTTCTCTGCCTCTCTGCCCCTGCTTCTCTGCCTCTCTGCTCCTGCTTCTCTGCCTCTCTGCTGCTCCTCCACCTCTCCACCTTTCTGCCCCTACCCCTGCCAGGATTAAAGGTGCTCTTTAATTTTAGATGTTTGCCGGCTGCACTCTCACTCCGTGTCTCATGCCTCATATACCTCATGTCCTGCCGTCATCTAGAAGACAGTGAGCTGGGCACTCTCATGCCTACTTGTTCAGAAGAGAATTGGATTCATAAAAGTTAGATAAAAATCATGCAGACGCATGCCTGTAGGCCCAGCTACTCAGGAGGCTGAAGCAGAAGGACCACTTAAGCCCAAGAGTTTGAGGCCAGCTGGATATAGTAATTTCTTATAGAACAACAACAGAAAAGGTAGAGGAGGAGGAGGAGGAGGAGGAGGAGGAGGAGGAGGAGGAGGAGGAAGAGGAAGAGGAAGAGGAGGAAGAAGAGGAGGAAGGGGAGGACTGACTGTAGATGCCATACAGTTAATGATCGGAGGTGTAGGAACCAAATCCAGGGCAGACTCCAGCCTTCCCACTGTGTCTTCATCTCTCCAGGGAAAACTTTTCTTCCTACCCCTTCAACTTGGTGTGAATAACCCGGAACTCTGCTCCCACAGACATGCCTTCCTCAGTCTGTAGCAAGCATTCGTCTCTATAAATGACTTAAAGCAATCTTGTGGCAATTTTCTCTTCCTCCCCTCTTCGGGGCAGTTTTCACTTTTTAAAGTCTGGCCTCTGTAACACTGGCATGCAACTACGAATGAAGGGTTTTTGTCTGATGTTTCCCAGATGCCCTAAGTCTGTGTTCCTCTTTCCTTGGGGGAGCTTTTCTCATTTTTTTCTTTGTCAAACATGTTATTTTAGCCTTTGAGGTTAGCTAATAAATCCAAGTTCTTAGACATAAAAATTTGGATGAAGAAGGACCTCAAAGATCTGTTCTCCTAACCCCATCGCCAGATGGGCAGGGCCAGCTAGTGGTTATGGTCACCCTGAGTTAGCAGAGCTCAGAACCTGGCTGGTGTTCTCGGGGAGGAATAGCCCCAGTCATCATACCTAAAAGCTGGGATGCCTTTATTACTTGTAAGGTGCTGTTCATCAACAAGAAGAGTTGCTTCTACATGGATGCTGTGGCTTTTCTTAAAAGGATTTGAACCCAGTGGCAACCAGCTGTGCCCTGACCATTTTGAGAAATATTCCCAAGACGCTTGCCTGTCACCACCACCCTGTCCTCTGGGTGGGGGCACCTGCTAGGGATTGGCTGAGGCAAAGCCTCACTGGCAAACTTCCTTCCTGGGTCCTAGTAGAAGAGGGATGTTTGGCTGCAGCCTGTCTTCTAGATATTCAAAAGACCTGCCCTGGCTATTTTCTGTTAATCCTTCTATGGCAGTGGTTTTCAACCTTTCTAATGCTGCGAGCCTTTAAAATATAGTTTTCCATGTTGTGGTGACCCCCAACCATAAAATTACTTTTGTTGCTACTTCATAATTTTGCTACTGTTATGAATCATAATGTAAATATCTGATATGCAATCCCCAAGAGGTTGCGATCCATAGATTGAGAAGTACTGTTCTATGCTCTTTAAGAAATCAAAGAGGAGCCGGGCACATGCCTTTGATCCCAGTACTTGGGAGGCAGAGGCAGGCGGATTTCTGAGTTCGAGGCCAGCCTGGTCTACAAAGTGAGTTCCAGGACAGCCAGTACACAGAGAAACCCTGTCTCCAAAAACAAAAACAAAACAAAAAAAGAAATCTAAGAGAAAACCACTAGGTGATAGCACTGAGGCAGAGGAGAGGTGAGATAAGCCAGGCACAGAAAGGCAAGTACTTGATCTCATTCATATGTACAACCCAGAAAGGCTAATCTGAGACCGGGAAATGGCTCAGTCTCTTGCTGCATGGCATTGAGAACTGACTTCAATCCCCAACATGCGTGTAAAAACCCAGACGTGCTCTAGTGTTCCTGTGGTACCACTGCTAAGGAGACAGACACAGGAGGAACCTTGGGGATTATTGGCAAGCCTGTCTAGTCAAATTCTAAGTACCAGGTTCAGTGAGAGACCCTGTCTCAGAAAAGAAGAGTGAGAGTAAGGAAGATATCCAATGTCGACCTTTGGCCTTTATGTGCATATATACATGCACACAGCATAACCACACACAGACATATACTCACGCAGTCAGTAGACACACACACACACACACACACACACACACACACACACCTGATCCTATTGAAGCAAAGAGCAAAACAATGGTTAGCAGAATTGTTACAGGACAGGGAGGACTGGGCCAATGGCTAGAAAGTTAGGCTAGGAAGAATGCATCTTGATATTACTGATATTCTATTGCACAGTGAGGTACTTAACAGTGATAAATATTTCAAAATAGCTAAAAGAAGATTTTTAATATTTTACTACAAAGATCAATCCGTGTTCAAGGTGATAAGTAAACTACTCTTCGGCCCGGTGTGGGGAGCAAATCACCTTTAATCAATACCACTTGGGAGGCAGAAGCAGGCAGATCTCTGAGTTCGAGGCCAACATATTTAACATAGTGAGTTCCAGGTCAGTCAGAATTACACAGTGAGACCCTGTATTTTTTAATGCCATTAATATATATATATATATATATATACATATATATATATATATATCGAAACACACATTGGGTGGCACAAATCTCTACAATTATTATGTGTCAATTCAGAAATAAAATACCACTTTACAAAAGAAAACAGAATGGAGAACTTGCATAGCCACGTCTGAGCTGAGCTAGCCTCCAGCATCATGGGACTCAGGGACACCAAGGAGACATGTAAGAAAAAAATTCCACATTTGATCTTCACTAGAAAGGCTGAGGCGTGATGAGAACAAATGCCAAACGGTATGGCTGTATCTTGTGAGATAAAGATATGGTCATTAAGTACGGGCCACACCTCCTCTGAAGTTAATGGATAAAAATTATAACTCTTCCATCATTCTTTTTCTCAATAGTATTTAGGATGAGTTATTCTTTGGCTGAGCTTTCTGCTCTCAGGTTTGCAAACGAATCGCTCTAGATGAAAAGCATCTTTTTGTGTTCCTCCAAAGCAACCAGATTAAGCACAGCTTCCTACATGATTCTGATATATTTACTAATGAAGCTGTTTTCTCATCTTACAGCATAGAACACACAGTGCAGACAGTCAATGAAAAGCAGACAACGCATTTTGAGCATTAAGAACGCCAAGGCCGGGCACTGGAGGACCACAGACTCCAGTCTGTGGCGACCACACCATCATGGACGAAGCCGACTTTTCGGAAGATATGACTTATAAGCAACAGGAGGACCTGCCTTACGATGGGGACTTCTCTCAGATGAAGATGTGCACTTCTTACAACTTTACCTTAACAAATGACACCTTTCCTGTCTCAGCGGAAGTTGTTCTGGCAGGAGAAGACCCTCAGGAAGTGGCTGCTCACTGTGAGGTGCGCCAGAACACAGCTCTGCCAGCAACTTGGGATAAGACGACTGAACTTGTCAGCAGCAGGCACGATAAAGATGAGCAATGCGCCTTGGCTTCTCCTGTTCCAGCTAATAAAGAAGATACCTCAAAGTCCCCCGTCTCAGATATGTTACTCCATCATCTCTCCAAAGAACAATTCTACAGGGGTCAAGGTACTGGCTATGAAATTCTCCCAGAGACTTTGAATGCTGAGAGTGTTGATGACACTCCATGTTATGCAAAAAAGTATTACCCCAAAGAACAAACCCCAGAATTCACTGGCCAGCCCAGTCCCCAAAATGGTTCAGCAAATAACAGCAAGCCCTGTTACTCCCCTGACACAGAAGGAGAAAATACCTCTCCCTTAGAAAAACCAGTGACTGTTGGGAAGAGCGACCATCAGGAAGATCCAAGCTTTCTAACCAGAACTAAATGTCCAGGTGGTAAATATAAAAGCTCTCTAAGGCAGACACCCCAGAGACAGATGGCTGACAAAGCAAGTTCAGGCAACTGGTTCAGATACAGCCGGGCTCAAGTGCACTACCAGTTTCCAGATTTTTCTAAGGTTGCTCCCAAGGTGAAAATCTCTAGGAATCCTGTAACTAATAAACCACTCACAATGGCTAACCAAGGCAGCTATTCTCCTAGGTTGAGAAATAAATCAACAGTTGTGCAAGATAATTTAGGAACCGTGTCTGGGCCAAATCGTGTTGAAAAACAACTAGAGCAAAAACAGAAATTTACTGAACCTTCGCAACAAATACAGGTAAATGAGAATGGTCCTTGGCAATACTGACCCAGGGTGGTCAAACCAGGGTGGGCTTGGGCTAGAGCTTGGGTGTAGTTCTGAGGTTTAGGCCCCTGGGTTATCCTGGGCAAGTGAACCAACCACTCAGAAGCTCAGCGATGACCTCATCAGAGGCTAGATTCAGAAAAACATAGAGGAAGATACAACCCCAAACCCTCAAAATTCTCCCAGAATCCTTTCTTCTTTGTTTTTTACTATTCTTAGTTGTTGTTGGTTTTGGTCTTTGTTGGTGGTGGTTTGGTTTTTGTTTTTGATTTTGTTTTTTGAGACAGAGTTCCTTTACGTAGTCCAGGCTGACCTGGAACTCAAATTGTACAACCAGGCTGGCCTTGAACCCACAGAGATTCTCATGCTTCTGCCTCTCAAGTGCTGGGATTAAAGGGATTTGCCACCACGTCCAGTCTCCAAAATATTCCTTAACTTCATCTAGAATTTGTTAAAATTATATTTATTTTTATTGAGAGTTCCACACACACATACAATAAGATCCACCCCGGTTTCCTGTTTTACTTCCTCCCATTTCCTCCACTAATTTCTCTGCCAACTCTATCTGCTCTCTTTTTCAATGTGAATTTTTATTACTTTTCTCATGTGGAGAGGCATCTGCTGCATGTATGTATGTGTACCACATGCATACCTAGTGCCCGCAGAGGGCATCGGGTCCTCCGGGACTAGAGTTACAGATGATTTCGAGCCGTGTTGTGGGTACCGAGAATTGAACCCAGGTCTTCTGGAAGAGCAGCCAATGCCCTTGACCATTGAGCCCTCTCTCCAGCCCTCATCCAGACTTCTAAACTCAGTCCTTCCCTGAGAGTCTTCTTCAAGTGCCTAGCTCGTCTTAGCCCCAAGTTCTCCAGTTTCCTCCTTCACAGGGGACACCTGTGCTTTGTTTGCCTTTTTTTTTAATCTCATGTAGCTCAGGTTGGCTTTGAACCTCTGATCTTCCCAACTTAACACCTCAAAATTGGGATTACAGGCATCCACCAGCAAATGTGTCTTAGAGCAGCCTAACCTGATCTACCAAAGACTATTCATTTACCCAGCTTCCTTCTAATCTCTCTCAGGCCACATAATTCCTCAAATCTACCAACTCATCGCTTTCGCTTACCTGCTGCTACTCCATCACCACCATCACCACCATCACCATCATCACCATCATCACCACCATCACCACCATCACCACCATCACCACCATCACCACCA